TATTATCTAATTACAAAAAAAAAATGACATAAGATTTAATACAGAGCAAAAAATGGTTCAGAAACATTAGAACATGGAAAGAAGTATTGCTAGATCACTCCATCAAGACAACATGAGCCCACTAAAACATCATGGATCTGTTTCATTCAATTAATTAAATGTTTAGTTTTCTGAGGGAAACCTGTAGGTCTCAGGCAGCCAAGAACAGAATTAAAATATTTAAGTCAATTAATGTTAAAGATAACAACAAACCACCAGTTAAGCACCGAAAAAGGATAGTTAAAGGCCACCGACCCTAAATTTATAAATTAACATCTTGGCGCTAGGAATTAAAAATGCATTACATCAAAATTGTTCTTTGATTTCCTAAGCATACTTTATGACAATGCTGAGCAAATCCAATAAGCTCAAGTGTTTGAGGCAGATACTTAGAACTTAAAATTTTTCAAGTACTGTTTTCTGTTTTGCCTAGTGTAGTCAAAGATCACAAACTGAAAAAAGCCCAATCCCAGAAAGACTGAGACCCATTGGCGGTTAACACCGTAATTTGGATTCCAGTCTCGGTAACTTTCTTTCCTAGTTTTTAAAAATTAAACTTCATGCATACCTTTAACTTTGCATACCTAAATAATTAGCTAGAGTACTGACTTGATCTCCACTTACTTTTAATCTTAAAAAAGAAAAATTATAAATACACAAAGTGTGCTAGACAGACAGCCATGATATTCTATTGCAGCAAAAGCAAGAGCAGTCTTGTTGCACTTTAGAGCTATAACAGCTTTACTGAGGCATAAGCTTTCTTGCAATTGATGTATAAAGTATAGTATAATTGGACAAACATATCATGTACACATTGGTATGGGGAAAAAGTATAAACATTGCAATCCAAAGACCATGGAATTTCAGAGGTATAAGCTGTGAGTGACACTATTTTGCATCATCTGGTGCCTTTACACACAGCAAGCTCTCCTACATATTGTGTATTGTTATGTTATGCTAATATTATTACAGTACAGTTTTTCATAGACTGTGAACCACCTTAGAGAATTTTGTTTAAAAGATGGGTTACAAATATGTTAAGCATGATGATGATAAAAATAAGAGATTGACACAAGAAGCTGGAGAAGGGGTGTAGAAGAAGAAAGATTAAACAGGTGAGCCCAAGAGAGAAATGGAAGGAATCTGCAGTAGGTAGGCCAGAGTAAGCCATTCCTTTGCTGTGACTTTAACTTTCCAATTTGTTACTCTGAAGAAACTTCTGTGTAGGAGCATCTACCTTTTACCATACAACAAAGTTAGAGTCCAGTGGCACCTTTAAGACCAATAAAGTTTTATTCAAGGTGAGAGTTTTTGTGTGCACACACACTTCGTCAGACAATGAAATGGAATTACAGATCATACTTGTATATATACAGGGTGGCTTGGTAAATTAGCATGAACATGTTTTTTTAACAGATAAAAAGAATGACAAGCTTGGGTTTTGGTTATCATCTGTTTGGGTTTAACTGAGGGGGAAAAACAACATACGTAACCCTAAATTGTGAGAATTCAGTCATTAGATTTCCATCCATCTCCTTTCTAGCATGGAGGCAAAGTTTAAAGCATCTTGGTTGTGTAGAGTATTTTTCTCGTCACCAGAACCGAGAATTACATTTAAATCTACCATTCCAAATTACATTACATATTCAGTTATATTTTTAATTGTTAAGAGTAGTAAACTCAGATTTTTTTAAAGTAGTAGAAGAAGAGATTGGATTTATACCCCGCCCTTCACTACCCAAAGGTGTCTCAGAGCGGCTTACAAACTCCTTTCCCTTCCCCTCCCCACAACAGACACCCTGTGAGGTAGGTGGGGCTGAGAGAGCTCTTGACAGAAACTGCTGTTTTTCAAGAACAGCTCTTATCAGAGCTACGGCTTGCCCAAGGTCATCCAGCCAGGTGCAAGTGGAGGAGTGGGGAATTAAACCCGGTTCTCCCAGAATAGAGTCCACGCATTTAACCACTACACCAAACTGGCTCCAAAGTAACATTCTGCTTCACTAAAACATGGAGTTAACTGACAGAATCCTTTTCCTGGGGTGTGGTGCTATGTCAGAGATCAACAAAATATTTCATTGCATTACAATCACTATTATAATATACTATTTAAAAAAACATTAAAATATAGGGGATGTATAGCCCTTCTTGGTGAGAATACATATGTGAGGACTGAATGATTTAGCATATGTAATAGGATAAGAAACCAATGTGGGGTTTTTGTTCTGAGTGTTATAATAACTTGTAATTCAGCAATTTCCCTTTCCATTGTGTTCCCGAAGGTCCTTTGCAATAAAACAGCTACTTTGAGGTTAGCCATTGAATGTCCTGGAAGGCTGAAGTGTTCCCCTACAGGTTTCTCACTCCTGTGATTCCTGATGTCAGATTTGTGTCCATTTATTCTTTGTTGTTTTTTCGCCCAGTTGAATCCAAACAGATGATAACCAGAACACAAGCTTGCCATTCTTCTTATCTGTTAAAAACATCTTCACTATTTTGCATGCTAATTTACCAAGCCACCCTGTATATATACAATTATGATGGGTAATTCCATTTCATTGTCTGACGAAATGTGCGTGCACACGAAAGTTCACACCTTGAATAAAACTTTGTTGGTCTTAAAGGTGCCACTGGACTCTAAGTTTGTTCTGTTGCTTCAGACCAACATGGCTGCCTACCTTGATCTACCATTTACCATGCCATGATTCAGCTTTAACTCAGGTCACTGACAAATAACTTGGCCTCAAAGCAAATGGAAATAGCCATAGGCCTATGGTTGAGGACAGCAACGACTTGCCATCAAGTCTGGCCTCCCTGTTGCTTCCCCCCTTAGGAAAAGGATTTGTTGTTGTTCAGTCGCACAGTCGAGTCCGACTCTTTGCAACCCCACAGACCACATCATGCCATCTGATCTGTTTTGATTATTACTGTTTTTTTTAATTTGTATATATGTATTTATTGAAATGTATTTATTTATTTAATTTATAAACTTTTAGACCGCCCTCCCCAGTGCACACAAGGCTCAGGGCGGTGAGCAGCAATAAAGAATATTCATAAATTAATAAAAACAGTTCAAAAACTGTAAAACAATACACAATTAAGACATTACCAGACAGTGCTAAATATTTCAGATTGTGCCACTGCCTCGTAGGGGAGGCAGGAAACAGAGGGGGGGGGGAGTGCCAGACGAGATGGAACCCATCGCTGTTCTCAACCGAAAGCCTCGCGGAACATCTCTGCCTTGCAAGCCCTGCATAACTGCATAAGGCCCCACAGGGGAGAGTTCTACCAGGTTGGAGCCAGAGCCTAAAAGGACCTGGCTCTGGTCAAGGACAGCCAGATGTCTTTTGGGTTGGGGATCACCAGTAGGTTCTTTTCTGACAGTGTAGTGCTCTTCTGGGGGTATACCAGAGAGGTTGTTTCTAACGGGTTCATTTGGTGGCATCGTTCCTGAATCCAAAAATGAACTGCCTTTTTTCCATGGAGGTTCGTTAGAACTGGTTCGTCAGAACTGGTGCTGATTCAATCAATTCCTAGGCAATGCTGGTGGTGGACTCATGGAGAGCCCTAGAAACACCTATTGCAGTTGTCCATAGCTTGATTGGCTGCTCTGGGAGCCAACCACAGAACGCCCATCTTGCTCTATATACCGCACCCTGACTCAGCTGCTTTCACTTTGCAGCAGGAAGAGAGGAGTTAGTCGTCATGTGAAAGTCATCATGAGAGAGGAAGAATTGCTTGCTTTCCTGCATGGCTGATTCAAGGGGAGGCTAGAGCTGAGCTTTCCTGGGGGCACCTGCTTGGGGGGGTATAACTCAGACATCCCAAATCCAATCTTCACCAGACTTGGAGGGCAGGTGGAGGAGAGCCTGCTGAAGGCTCCCTGTGAGTTTGGCATCTCTAACTCATGAGAAGGCTGTTCTACCATCTCTCAAACTCATAAACCAATGAACCAGTTTGGGAAACAGGGGGAATTCGTGAAAGTTTGAGGAATCAAATGAACCACGAACCACCATTTACCCAGTTTGTGCCATCCCTAGTTAATACCAACGCCTTGCACCTGATCTGGTACTCCACCTGGAGCCAGTGCAGCTGTACGGTCTGTGGTGTTCCAGTAAGGACCTGCACTGCCACATTCTGGACCAGCTGTAGTTTCCAGATCATGAGGGGGAGGGCAGCCCACAAATCAAATCAATAAAGATCCTAAAGCAGGGGTGAGCAGAGTTCTCACTTCCCTACCAAGTATATGTTCAGATATTTTCAGGGCAGACCAGGAATACTCTCTCTGAAACATGTTTTTTCTCTACCCCCAGCTCCTCAGAACTTTGTGACTTCACAAAGTAATGAAGATTGACCACACTTTTAAAGAGCCACTATTAGGGCTGCCAGCTTCCAGGTAGCACTTGGAGCTCTCTTGCTGTTACAATTGATCTCCAGGTGACCAAAAGCAGTTCCCCTGGAGAAAACGGTTGATTTGGAGGATGAATTCTATGCTATTAAATCACACTGAGGCCCCTCCCCTCTCCAAACACCATACTCCCCAGGCTCCACCCCCAAAATCTCCAGGTATTTCCCAACCCAGAGCTGGAACCCTAGCCACCACAAATCATTTGGAAAGATTTTCGTATACACTCCATCGTGATTGTGTCAGAAGCCTGGGCTCTCAGCCAGCTGCTCGGCTAACTAATTCACTATCTGAAGATTCTTCCTGGGTTCTTTTTTTCTTTTGGGGCAGGGGGAGAAAAGACAGACAACTGGGATAGAAAACAAGTCCAAAAATGAGTTGTGTGAATAGATCCTCTAATCAACCAGAGTCTGCTCCTCGTCCTGTAATTACACTCACCATCCAATGCAAACAAGGAGCTGACGGTACCCCCCACAGAGGACAAGCCCTAAAACAGGACTGTTGTAGGTATACAGGGCTCCACCTGTCATTCTGAAGGCTATAATATTTTAATGCTTACCTGATAGAGCTCTTCTAAATTGTATTTAATTGAAGTACTGTTTTGAATTGCTTCTACAGCTTCCTTCAGTTTTTGCCAGGTTTCATCTGTATAATTTTCAGGCAGTTTAGGTTTGTCTGGAAAATATTAAAAAAATAAAATCCTTTGATTGCTGCAAATACACAATTCAAGAATGCAAGAATTAGAAGCTTAAATAGAGAACATTCAACAGTGACCCCCCCAGAATTATTTCAATGTCAAACTCAATCTAGGAATAAATTGTGTTTATGACTACATGGTCTCTAAGAGTGATGTTGCACTCGTATTTTTACCATGCAAATTATTTCATGAAGATACAGATCTCTGTCCAAAAATGCTCCTGTCAGAGCAGTATCATCTAGATTCATCCACAATGAAAGAATACAGAACTACATAGAGTTTTCCCATTAGCTGTGACTATTCCTTTGCAAGGACTTGGCTGACCTGTGAAACAGGAGGTTGCTCTTGGGGGGTACTTTTCTTTCTGACTCCATCCTCAAAACTGTTCAAGCTTTTGTGGATGAATATTTAAAAAAATACTTTTAAATATGCAGGGGACAGTCCTCATGAAATGCTACAAGCTCTGAAACTCCCCTTCTAGTGAGGTTCTCCAAACTTCAGCATCGTGTTGGAATGGAAGACATTTTTATCTTAGTGAACTGTTCAATGGGAGTAAGTAAAGTTTGCTTTCCTGGTGGGTTATAAATGTTATCAGTTTTATGAACCAGGTGTCCACATTGAGTCACTATGGACACCTCACAGTTAGTAACCTAGATATGAAACTCAAACTACACTTATGGATATGCTCAATAGATAAAATGCAGCTCTCCAGACGTTATGTATTCTCCTTATGTGACCTGTCTAATGTCCAATACAGTTTATATACCCAATACTGTTTATACTGTACCAGGTGGTGTTCTGGTTCTGCAGCCACCAATATCATCAAAAACAAACACGTACACTCAAATAAGTATTCCTACCCTCAAGCACTTCTGAATTTTTCAGTTTTGACCAGAACCATGAATAGAGGAAGGGACGGCAGAGAAGCGGGACACCAACAACGCATAAATCCAGAATATACTTATGAATGGCAGGTCATATATATATCAGAGGCCCAGAGGAAACATGGAAATTGTGGATCAGTGAGAACCGGACTTTTATAAAGGGCCAGGAAGTACATGTTGAAAGGAAAATGCACACATAATTATCAAAGGCAAACAAGAAGTTTTTTGGGGATGGGGATAAGAACCAAAGATTTTCCCACACAATACACAACAATGCATTACCTTGAAAGAGAAAATACTTTCATACCTGTCTTACAAGTGAACAAGTATTGCTCTGTACAGTTTTACCTATCTATCCTTTACAGGTACTGGTGTTTGCCACAGAACAGTCTGCAGGACTTTTATAAGCCAGGACTCTATTCAAAGTCTCCGTTTGTTCAAGAATTTCTACCTTCATATTTTATTAATGTCACCTGACAGCACAAAGAATGGGTCAGCCAGGATTTATTCAGTTTGTCCACTTCTCATTCTACGCACCTTCACTGCCTGTCCCCATCTGTATATAACCACTTACGCAAATACTAGGAATAAGTCCTAGTCCCTTATTCAGTACTGAACATTAGAGGCAATATTTTATTTACTATTTATTTTATTTCATGGGACTTCTATTCCGCCCTCCCCCTCAAGTGGACTCAGAGTGGGTTTTCCAATCCAGTCCTTCTCTCACTTGAGAAACTGCCACTTTAATGTATATAATACAGGATTTTCTCTAATGGAGCCCGCGAAAGAAAGAAAAGAAGCTGCCAGACCAGACGACCACACCAGGAACTGAGCACTGACACCCAAAAGACTGCCCGGGAAGAACAACCAAGAAAAACAGTGAGCCCTGCCACCTGGGTGCCGGTAGGTAGCCCCTACCCCTGTAGACACGTGGCCTTAGCTAGGGATAAATTTGGAACTTGTAAGCCGCTCAGAGACCCTTCGGGGTTGGAGCGGGGTAGAAATCGAAGATATAAATAAATAAATAATAAGTTGTATATATTTACCATATTTTTATGGAGCTTTGTTGCAGATTGTTCCTCTTTCTCCATTATATTCTAACAAGCCCGTGATGTATGTTACACATGGGCACATATGAAGCTGCCTTATATGGAATCAGACTATCAGTCCATCAAGGTCAGTACTGCCTAGTCAGACTGGCAGCATCTTGCCAGGTAGAGTTTTTTTACGTCACCTACTGTCTCATACTTTTAACTGGAGATGCCAGGGACTGAACCTGGAACCTTCTGTATGCAAAGCAGAGGCTCTCCCACTGAGCCACAGCCCCTCCCCTGGAAGTGACTAGTCCAAGGTCATACAGTGAGCTTCATGGCAGAATGGGAATTTGAACATGGGTCAATCCAGAGCTTAGTTCAACATTTACTACACCACACTGACTCTACCATGGAATGTCAGGGAGGAAGAGGATCTTTCCTCAGCAGACAAGATGAGGTACCCCATGGCAAAGAACCATCAAATTGTCATTAATTCACATTATATTCCTAGGGCTGATTGTATATTGTCTCACTATCCTAATATGATTCAAGAAGTAGACAATCTACAAAGTACTGCTTCTTTGGCCTAACAAAAAAAAATCTCATATGTGATTTCAAGTGGAGGCAGAGTTATTGGAGTACTGCTCAAATACATTTATTTTCACAGGGAGCAGCAGAAGGCTGCACACAACTGTATATAAGATTCTCCAAATGACTGACTGTGGGACTTGCATCTCTCAAAAATTTCTAAGAATACACATACATAAGTTTTTCCAAGCTGCAATTTATATCTATTTTAAAAAAGAGCCAGTTTCAAACACTACCACTCTTATAAAGGCTTAAGATTCCATCGCACTATAGTGTACCCACACTAGCATCACACCAAGAAACTGAACAGAGGCAGAGATATGGAGATGAAGGGGTGGAGCTATATAGTAGGAGACTGGTTCAGCTGTCAATGGTCCTACATAATTCTCTTGAACAAAGTCCAAAACAGGCTGCAATCTGGGAAGCAGATGTCCATTCCCAAGTAAGCTCACAGGCTCAGCAGTTAGAGGGAGCAGGTTTAACCCCACATTCCCCATTTACTCCTGTGGGGAAAATAAAGTGCTTCACTTGGATCTAGTGAGGAGAGAATATGCAGCCTAGCCTGTGCTGACATGGGACTTTACAGGAGAGTACTGAATGTTCCCAGAGATTTTTACAACATACCGGCCATCCCAACCCCACAGAGATGTCAGACATAAGGAACAACAGCTGTCTGTTACCTTTAAAGTTCTTGATCACTAACTTCTTGGCTGAACCAGGTTTACTGTTGGCAAAACTGGAGACAGTGGAGGAGGCAGCTTTGGTCAGGCCATTTGCGTGGTGTCCCACAGCTACTGAGGAAATTAAAAGGCTTTTATTTTTGAGTTGCTGCTGGTGCTGCTGCTGAGAAGAGGCAGCAGGGGATGAAGAGGAAGACTCTTCAGCCATCTTCACATCAAGTCCAATAAAATCCAATGAGTCCTCAAAGCGCAACTTCTTCTGCAGGTGATGGTTGGAAGAGGCAACCCCCGAGGAGGAACAGGAGGCAGTAGAAGCAGTGGTGTTGACAGAGGAGGATGTGGAGGAGGAAGAGTTGGCTTTGGAAAGAAGGGAAGAGCAGGAGGAGATGGCGTCAACCTCTTCTCTCTCACTACTGTTACTATTACTATTTAATTTTCTCTTCTTAGAGGAGGACGAGGAGGAGGAGCTACTGCTGCTACCATCAGTGGCAGGTCTGACCTCCTGAGCTGCTGCTGCTGAGGGGTTGGGGGAAGAGAAACCTGTGGGAAACATGAACACACAGAGGTGAGCAGGCTGAAGGGCATCAAATCCTGCTGGTGTGACAGACACGCAGAAAGAGACCGAGTTGGTAACTGAAGAGCTCTGCCTTGCCGGCGGGATCCAAAGCTTGTGCCTCCTTGCCAAGCAGGTCCCCCTCGATCAGGAGAAGCGCTTCTTGTCTGCCCTCCCCCTCTGGTTGGTTTCTTCTCTCAGGGAGTTCTGCCTGCCCCGAGTGAGCGAACGCCTCTCCCCGTTCCCGATGCTGGCAGGCCTCCTTCTCGGCTCTGCCCCCTTCTCCGCTCCAAGAAGCGGGCAGGGTCCCTCTTTCTCACTCTCGTCCCCCTGCCCGAGGCCACCTCTCTCCTGAGGAAGGAGAGGGGAGTCGAGCTCCCTTCTCCTTCTCTCACTTCCCCTCCACTTCCTCCTCCTCTTTCGTTGCCAAGAGAGGGAGGGGGGGAGAGGGAGGCCGGCCTGGGATCGCGGCTTGTTATTGTCAATACTAGAGCTGAGAGGCAGGGAGGCTAAAGATGGCGGTGCATCCGGTTGCTAGGCATGTCGGGAGGCCGCCCCGCCCGGAAGCATTGCCGGGCGCCTCGGAACCGACTTCAAGTTCCCCCCTGTGGGGCTCAACCAGACGAAAGAGGCTGGCCAGGCTCTGGCAGGAAGGTGGTCGGCCCTGCCTCTCGCGCCTCGGCCTTTCCTCGCGTCCCTTCCCTCCCCCGCCTCGGCCTTCTCTCCCCCCCCCCTCGCTACCTAGCACCCCACCCGCCTTCCTCTGTCCTCTGACCTACCGGAAGTGATCATGTTGCCGGGTGGCTGCTGCTGGCCTCTCGCGCGCCCAGCCATGGGATGGCTGGTCCGTTGGAAAATCCTCGCGCTCCAGCGCTTGAAGCTTCCTTATGGAAAGAGGCGGGGCCACCGCACTTTTCTCCGAGAAAGGATGGGCGGGTGCGCTGAGCAGCCTTGTTGCCCCCCGCCCCCTGTAGCGGATTTTCGGGTGGCCTTTCTTTTTCCCGTGGCCCGGCGGGGTTTGAGCCCCATCGGATGGAGCCGTGCGGGCTTCCCAGGGTGGGGGGAGTAAAAGCTTGGAAGAAAGGAGCGGTTGGGATCTCTCGAATGCAGCTTCCCTCCCTTGTCTTCTCCCTGCCCATTTCAGGGGCAGGCTTAGGAGGCGTGTTCTCCCCTTCTTTCCTTGGCCAGGAATGGGTTGAGGGAAACGGGGAGGGGAACGCCTTGGTTCCTCGCTTGGTTTCATTTTGCATCTCGGCATCATTTGGCTGTGATCCGATGCAGCGTTAAATGTGCTTAACTGTCCATTAAGAGTTGAGCCTGAACCCGATACTGATTTACACACAAGTAAGTCCCGGTGAGTTTAATGGAGCAACTCCAAAGTAAGTTTCCATAGGGCTGCAGCTTTGGTTTACATTCCCGCCCCTTTAGGTATTCATGCATCTAATGAAGCAAGCTTCTGCAATAATAAATTGGTTTAATCTATAGTACCTACAATGACATTTTTATTTTATGTACAACAGACTGACACAGTTATTTCTCTAGATTTTTATTTTTTGCATACGCACATATTCCTAATGGTTCTGCTAATGCATGTGAAATCTGCATTCTTTTGACACCATCAGCAACACTTACGGTTTGATCTGCCCTTTATTTATTTTTTTATAGTATAAAGTCCTCTTTAAAAGCCAACATGCTGTAGTGGTTAGTATCAGACTAGGATCTGGGAGACCTGAATTCAAATCTCCACTCTGCCATGGAAGTTTGCTTCGTGACCTTGAGTTGGTCACACACTCTCAGCCTTATCCACATCACAGAGTTGTTATGAGGAGAGGAGAATAAACTTCAGAACGTCATTGGGGAGAGAACCATGGTGTAAATTAAGGCAATAATAAATACCCCCCTCCCCCCACTCTACTACAGTCACTAGAGTTATAGTCTCCTTTTTCACTATTAAGCATTCTATCTTACCTTTTCACAACCTTTCGAAACATATTTTATTCCTCTTAGTTGTGTGGTTTCGTTTGACACGAGTTTCTATTGATTTATTCATCTTTGTATTCTTGTGAACTTTCATCTTTGTTTTGAAAAAGGAGCAGGATCATTGTATGCAGTTACACCCCTCTTACATCTATGTTGACCTACCTTTCTTTTATACTAGAGATTATGTTGTTGGGCAAATTCTTTGAAGGATTATAGATTTCTGTTCTGTTTTGCCCCTGTCCTGGTAACTTGGTGAAAATCTTCTATACAAACAGCTTTGCAGAGCCAAGTTTTGTAGCTTCTTAAGCAGGTGCAGACTAGATTGCAAGCTTGAAGTGAACACAATATTATGGACTTGTGTGAAGTTTTACAGTTGAGGATGAAACTGGAAGCAGCATTATGTATATTGCACTGCTTCCTATATGTGTGATATGGGTAGCTACTTATATTGGAAGAAATGGGGGAAGAAAGGAGGGCCGCAGCAATGCTGCGGCAACGCTGGCCGTGGGATCGCCGGCGCGTCCTTGCGCCGGCGCATCCCCGGCTCCTGGCCGAACTGCGCATGTGTGAGCATGCGCAGTTCGCCAGGCTCCCCTTCCCACCGCTGCGTTCTCCCCGGCATCTGATCGTGCCGGGGAGCGTTGCGACGCGGCTCGGGGGATCTGTGAGATCCCGCCGCGCCGTCCCAACTTTGCCGCGGCTCACTTTAGCCGCGGTACTAGCACCTAATTCCCTGCCGTGTGGCAGGGACCTGAGAGTCACTGTTCTCCAACAGAAGAACTTCAAGAGAAGACTCTAGCCTGAAATTACTGGAACAAAGTTTGAGCTCAGTGGAACCTTTAAGACAAATTTTTATTCAAGGTATAAGCTTTCATGTGCACACACACTTATTCAGATACAATGAAATGGAAATGACCAGTCTATACATATAGGTAGAGGGTGAGCAGTAAATTAGCACACAGCATAATAAAGATGTCTAACAGATTCAAGGACCAAACAGGAATAACTAGCTAAGTGTATATGGTTACCATTTGTTTGGGTTTAATTCTGAGGGAAAACGGTGAATGAAATAACTGTCAAGTTGGAGATTGATGGGCAGATGTATCCTTAATTGTGGAATGCTGAGAGTAATTAACAGAGACCCTGCCGTTACGCTCCACCTTTGACATTTATTTCGTTCACTATGTTTTCCCTCAGAATTAAACCCAAACAAATGGTAACCATATATATTTATCATGTTATTCCTGTTTGGTCCTTGAATCTGTTAAACATCTTTATTATGCTGTGTGCTAATTTACTGCTCACTCTCTACCTATATGTATGGAGTGGTAATTTCCATTTCATTGAATCTGAAAGTGTGTGTGCACTCGAAAGTTTATACCTTGGATAAAACTTTGTAGGTCTTAAAGGTGCCACTGGGCTCAACGTTCGTTCTGCTGCTTCAGACCAACATGGCTACCCACCTGAATCTGAAATTACTGGGTTAGACTTCAGTAAATTTGATGCTATGTGTGAAGAAATTAACAAGGACTGCAGATTCCTCATTCAATATAGGTTTTAACATTTTTATCGTGGTTTGGTTAAGCCAGAAATAAAAAAAATCTTACCAGGCTTTGTGCTTTTTCTGATTAATGATTTTTACATAGCCTTGCCTAGGATTGCCCGCCTCCAGGTGGGGCCTGGGGATCTCCTGCTTTTACAACTGACCTTCAGCTGACTGAGATCAGCTCCCCTGGTGAAAATGGCTGCTTTGAAGGGTGGACTCTATGGCATTGTACCATGCTGAGGCCCCTCCCCAAACCCCACCTAGATCCACCCCCAAAGTCTCCAGGTCTTTTCCAACCCAGACCTGGCAACCCTAGCTTTGCCACACTATTCTTTTTATGGCTGTTCTAGTAAGATGTAGCAAACATGGTTTTATTATGGTATAAATTGAGGACTACAACCCCCCCCCCCCCATGTTACTCTAATGTGCTTTACAATTGTTTATTTTTGCTGCTTCAGTGGGATAGATGTTGGCCTGTTATAGCAAAATAAAATAGAAGTCCTGTGGCACCTTTTTGTCCCAACAGACTAAGGCCCCGGTCACACGGCAAAGTTGCCGCGGGAGGCACGGATGGTGGGCCGCGATCTGGCCGCGATCACACCCCAACATCTGGGAAGTGGAGCACACCGATGGCTTACCGCCGACAATGCGCCTTAAAAAAACTAGTACCTCCAAGGTACTAGTAAATGTTTGCCATGGGCTGCCTCCAGATGCCCGTGGTGTGATCGTGTCAGCGCGCCGCATTCCCCTCTGGTCCCTTGTTTGCCCACCTGCGCCAAGGGAACGACCCGTGGCGTGCTGTTGGTGCGTCTGATCGTGTAATTGCGCATCAAACTGCGCTGGGGCAATTAGCCACGCCTCCCCCCCATATCCGGCCTGTGTGACCGGGGCCTAACATAATTACTCCACTGGAATTACTACCGTAAAATTACGTTATTTCAAAAATGAGAGGGAGCATTTATTTTGGGGGCAACTCCAGGGCATAAACAGGGCACTTTAAATCGGCTCTTGGTGCCTGGTTTTGGTATGTGGGCCAACATAAACGGATGAAGGTCTCCATGGCAACGGCTGTGCCGAGATTAGGCAAGGAAGAAGGCTGGATCAACTCTACCGGCCTTAATGTTTCCTACACGAATTGCCTAGTGGGAGTTGTAGTCTTTCTCTTCCTGTAAGTGACTCAGGGTGTTTCGTTCGCTCGGGAAAGGTGCGGCGGGGCAGCGCTTCACGACGCGACGGCCGTAAAGTGACGCCGATTTCCTTTCCGTCTGGTGCAGAAGAGAAGGGAGGGCCTGAAGGGCCTCGTGTGAGAGTGAGGAGGGTCAAATCGGGAGCCAGTGGGTGCCAACCCCCACCCTCCCAGGTCCTCGCTCCGCCCGGACGTGCGGGGACCCAGCGCCCCCAGGATGTTTAAGAAGTGAGTAGGGAGTGAAGCTGGAAACTGATACACAGTGATGATCTCTGAGGGGTGGGGATGTGGTGGTCATCGGGTGTGTCTTGGTTTCTGTTATTTATTACTATTGCAAGAAGCAACAGCATTTTAAAAATGAAAGCTCTCGCGGAATTGTGAAAATAAAAGGGGAGAAGAATTCACACACACACCCCTCCCTAAGCTGCCTGGAGAAAGAGTGCGATTAAATGCAATATGATCTGATAGTAAAATGACCGCGGCCCATGCTAAATCACAAACGCGGTGAAACTAAGCCAGCTGTAGGTAATTTAGCGGCCTCTACATGTGCAGGGTATGTAGAAAGAGACGATTTTAAAAATAACCGAAAAAAAAAACTCCCCCCCCCCCCCCCCGCCCCAACGCATCCTTTGGCTAAATGGGGACTGAGTATGCTGCAAGAGGCGCAATGTTGCTAAAGGCAAAAACCACAGGGAGGGAGATGAGGATATTGGTATGGTGAAGCCCCTGACATCTTGTAGACCTCCCAAGGGAGTTCTCTCTCTCTCTGCGTTGTGTGTCATTTTTCTTTATCTCCTGTCTCCATGGTATGTAGAAATGTATTTCTGGGATATGGGAGGCAAGTCCTGTTTGGATGGATTTATTTTCAAGTAAGTAAATTGGGATTGCCAGAGGTGGTGAAAGGGATGTGAGTGGTGAAAGTACTGGAGTGGCGAGGAAAGGTTTTGCAGACACAGGGTTTGGAAGAGCAAGGGAACTGGTTTAAGGCCTCTTTTTCCAAGTGTTTTTTTCATAGCTCTCTAGGAACTTTAGAACAGGAGTAGTCTGAAAGTAGACCTTTGGTTGCCTAGCATTTATTGTAGATATTTTGTACACTTTCAGAAATAAAAAAAATGTTGATTTAGCAAATAGTGGAAAATTACAACTGCAGACATTTAGTGCATGCTATTTGCTGGGACTTCTTGCAGAGAATACTGAAATAGGGGACACTGGCCAGAGTCAACAATGCACTTGTGCTGTTCTTAAACAAGAGCCTGTTCCCTGCTTCAGCGAACACAATAAGTTATGCCACAAATATTAAAAAAGGGAGGTTCTTGCTTTGAAAATTTAATATGCGTGGGTGTGAAGCATGGGGATTCTTGTAGAAGAAAAGTACAAGATTGAATTAATGTTGTCTCTGATATAAAGGGTA